ACCGCCCCTAGAAATGACCCGCGGTATATAGCCAAGAGCTCGCGGGAGGCCGAAATTACTCTAAGTCCTGGGCGCTTTCTTCCTCTCGGACGTCGGCAGGCTGCCAATTGTTTTCTCCGCCGTCCCCATTGCCGCCGCTGCCGTCTCGTGGCCTACAATCGCGTTCTCTGACGTCCTCCATCCTCACCTAACTGCACTACGTCCACCGTTCCCCAACCGCCGCCTTTCCGTAGGCCGCCGGGGGCTAGGGTTTGAGCTCTGCCGGCTCGGCCGCGTGCTCTAGCTGGTGTCCCCACCACCGGCACTCCCTCTCCGACCTCGACCTCGACCACCGAACTCGCCGGCCCACGCGTGCTCTCCAACATCCCTCCACCTTGTTGTCGCTTGGTCTCTCTCGTGCGTGCGACGTCGACGCGGGGGTCACACTCGGGCGCTCCTCCACCGCCGTCGCCTCGCTCCTCTTCCGCCGTCGCCATCTCCACCGCCATTGCCATCCGTCTCGAAGGTCAATGCACCTCATCTCCTTCATTGCAGTAGTTTCTGAATCCGCTAGGGTTTGACCCACACCTCCATTGCTTTTCCGGATCCGCTAGGCTGGTTAATTAAGCAATCATAGTTGAGAAAATGATAGATTTACTTTTGACATATTGAATTGAGACTGGCAGTATTACTCCTCTCTCATTTTTTGTCAGCTGACTATTCTTTTCTGGAGACAGTGCAACATTTAGTTATGCCCCCTCATGATATTACTTAATTGTGATTCTGAACTACATTGGAGTTAAAATGATTTCATAAATCCATGAATCATAAGGGAATAGAAACTGGAATGCTTCTTTGTGATGGCCTACCTTCCTTCTCACCTGCATATCTTTATCCTTGCACAGTAGCTCTAATTTATTAGAGAATGCAATAGTTTTAACCAGTTATAAAAACTTTAACTATTAATGCTGCCAACTGTTATGAAGTCCATAAAGAAACGTTTTTTCCAAGTATTTCACTGAATAATAGGATCTAGCTTCTGCTATTGATATGTGTTCATCAATCATTTGTTTATTAGCATGGTCAGTTGATAAATCAACACATTTCAGTTTCTTCGTGCAGTAGAAGTTCAGGTCTCTATCTTGTCTAGCTGTGGCTTTTTTTGTTCAGAAGCAGCTGCAGCTTGAGTGCTTTATTCATTGAGTACAACTAGCTGCAGTTCATTGAGTTTACATTTGGTTTATTTATTTGCAACTCAGATTACAGTGGTTCATTGAGTTTCAGAAAATTTGGAGTAGTAGCTAGCTGAGTTTAGTGTGGTTTTCATTTCCTGTGCAATGTCATTTTCATGATACAACAATCTACCTTTATAATTTGTTCCATGCTTAGCTGTTGTGTTTTTTTGTAGCTGTTTGTTTCTTATATTAGTCTCTTTCTAGCTTGAACTGCATGGATGCTTGGCTCGTTGGTGGATGGTTAGCTGTAGGTTAGTTTCATATCAATGTTTGAGTGGTTAGTAATTGAGCCTTTCAGTTTTAAATATTTGAGAAGTGAATAAAATAAGTTTCTAAACAGGCCATTTGACATTGCTAACAATGCAAGTGAATCATACATATTTAAATCAGATTGTTATATGGCAATAAAATAAGCTCATATTTATCAAGTGCAAGCAGTCGGTTCTTACTACTGATTTTATAGTTTACAGTCCTATCAATAATGCCTACTTTCAATGCAATTCAGAGGCAAGGATAATGCTTGTTTAGTTCACAGTTTGAGCAGATATCAGTCAAGAAAATTATTGTTGTCTTTGCCAACCTCTAAGGATTTTATAAAATGTACTCAGATCATGAAACCTACTCTTAATAATGTTTCAGATCTATATGATTGGCTATAGCATTTTACTTAACTTGTCACAACATACCTGCTACTGCTAGCCATTTCAGGTTCCAGATCTTGACTGTAGCATTTCACATGATTGGTTGTAGCATTTCACTTAACTTGTCACAACATACCTGCTACTGCTAGACCTTAAAAGAAATAAGTTGGGGGTGAACACCTTACTTTCTGGTGATCTTATATCATGTGTGAACTTATGATGCACTTGCTTTGGTCAGAAATCATGTTTGGCACATAAGTCAATATTTAATTTTAGCATTTTTATAATTATGGACAGTTTCTAGCACTTGGTGAATTAGGCTTCGATAATGGTGTTTGCTGGGAATCATGTGAATACCAAAGTTGTAGTTAACTTATTAAACTAGCTTGTGTTAAAATTTGGTGGCATTTGGCCAAGTAGTTTAGGAGATATGGCTGTTCTCAGTTTGAGTCTAGTTTTGGCTGCTCTCTGTCTTGTGAAGACAGATTTCTGTTGTTAAGTAATTTCGACCTGGTAAAAGTTGGAATCATGCCTTGAGGTCTGAAAATGAATTTTAGGCAATTTCATAAGCTTTCCAAATTGTCTTGTTGCATATCATTTGGATTTGTAAATCTCTAGTTATGGTCAGTTTACTATGTTGTTGTTGCTCTCTCCCTCTCTGTTGCTGTCTGGTGCTTGTTGTGCCTGCTCTCTCCATCTTTGGTGCTTGTTGTGCCTACTCCACCCTTTGTGTTTTTCTTGGCTACTTCTCAGACCACAAAGGTTTCCAGGGCCTTGATCTCTCCTCAAACAGAGTCATTGTTGCTCGCCATGTCACCTTTGATGAAACCAGTTTCCCCTTTGCCAAGTCACGGTCGCCTCCCCCCACTGATGACTTTGATTTTCTTGTTGAGTTTGAGCCCCAGGTGCACCTCATTGGGCTCTGTGTTGCCTCAGGTCGCGCCTCGCGTGACCATGGATGCGCCTCATGCTGCCCCTACCACACCAGCCCAAGTGTGTACATACCTTGGGCACGATACATTACTCAAGTCTACACGCTAGTTGCTAACTTGCTACCCTCCTCGGCTCCTCCCCTGTGCTACCCTCCTCTCCTCTATTTTTGCCACCTTTCCTATCCTCTATGTTTGGGAAGCAGCAGCTGCTTTTTTTACACCTTTTCCTCTCTATGTTTGTTAAGCAGCTGTTGCTTTTTTTTGCCAAATCTCTCCTCTCCTCTCCTTTGTTTTGCCGATGATGAAATTATCTAAGTCCATACATTATATGGAATATGAGCTGATGATCAAGAACTTGTGAGAAATTTGGCATCATTAGCAGCCGCCCCTACATTACCTTCTCCTCTCTTCTATGTTATGATGCCTTGATGCTTCAAGTTCATGATCAAATGATGATTGACATGTTTCTGAGGCCTCTACTACTGCTACTACTCATTTTTTTGATATATTGTTGTTTTATAGGACTAATTTGGTTTATAGACCTATTTGATTTCTTATACCTTCTCGCGTACCTAAAGCACACTTTCTTGCATCTATTAGAATAAAGCGCGAAATAATATCGTGGACACCAGACAGTGCAGCCCGATGTCCCAAGCATGATGAGCAGCCAACCTATGAGGAGCAAGCACTAGAGAACCAGCTTACTCAGGAGCAGTCCGATAACGAGTTAAAAAAGGATCTAGAAGTGATGCTTACTCAGGAGCAGTATGACGAGGAGGAAGGGGGAGCAGAAGGAAGAGCATGAGAGGCTGCTGAAGGCGAAGAAGAAGAAGATGATGATGATGATGACTCAGAAGAGGGATATGTAAGTCCCGAGGATCCTTTCTCACCTGAAGCCAGAAGGAGGCCAACGCAGAAAGATTTGGACAAGGATTTTGACCCGAACGAGGAGGTAGAGAAAAAGTCTTAGCTTGTAAATTTTGCTAAAGCAACACTTTGACCTGTCGTATATACAGGTCCCTCCTGAAACTCGAAAAAGACGACATCGACGTCCGCGACATCTCACTGGACAAGACAGAGTAAGAGGAAAGGAGAGCAGAGGCAACAGCCACAGAGACGGATCACGATGCCTCTGCTCCACAACCTCAAGACACAACCATGACTACCAAGCCTAAGAGGAAACGAGGGGATAGAAAAGCAAATATATATCCAGATAAGGCATGCTATGTGATAACGGAGGTCGGGCCAGCAGGAGAGATCCTTGAGCCGAAGAAATTAAGAGAACGATTCCGTAATGTGATCGGGGCCCTAGTAGGAGATAAATTGAACCTAGCAATCCTTAACTGGAAAGAGGTACCAGAGAAAAAAAAGAATGAACTATGGGATAGGCAGCTGAAGCTCAATTTTAGATTTTCGGAGGGTAAGCAGGAACTGGTAAAAAATGCTTGTGAATTATATCTATTTAATGATGGATTGTATATACTCTTGTGAATTGGACTTGTAATTGTAGTTTATATAATACTCTTGTGCTTGTAGTCTAAGGGGTTCGGAACGCTGGTCGCAGGGCGTTCGGCAACGCGAACGCGGTTCGGAACGTTGGTCACAGGGCGTTCGGCAACGCGAACGCGGTTCGGAACGTTGGTCGCGGGGCGTTCGGCAACGCGAACGCGGTTCGGAACGTTGGTCGCGGGGCGTTCGGCAACGCGAACAGCTGGATGGAACACGCGGAAACAAACAGTGTTCTAGTCGAATTTGAATTGTAAATTTGAATTTTTTTTGTGGAAAAACGTAGTGTAGGGGCGGTTCTAAACTGAACCGCCCCTACAAACAGGTATTATAGGAGCGGCTGGTACTACAGCCGCCCCTACAAATCGATTTGTAGGGACGGCCTGAAAACCGCCCCTACAAATGAATGATTTGTAGAAACGGTTTGGTAGGGGCGGCTGGCCAAACCGTCCCTACAAAAGGTTACGAGCCACCCCTAAAAAATGTTTCTGCAGTAGTGAGTAGTAGTGGTAGTCGTAGTCGTAGTGGTAGTGGTAGTAGTGGTGGTAGTGGTAGGAGTGGGAGTGGTAGTGGTAGTACTATATATAACGTAGCGGCCCCGCCTGTTCTCTTGCCCGTGTTTCTCCACAAGAAAGAGTGAAAGACCACATACATCTCCCACTCTCGCTTGGCGCAGCGAGCTGCCAACCGTTTCACCGGCCGGCCGGATGGATCCTCAGCAGCAGCAGTCCATCCACCTCGCCGCTGGTGCTTCGCCAGCTGGCTCATCTGCAAAGGCAACGCCGCCGCCGCAGTGTGACCATGAGCGCATGGTCGTCGGCAACATGTGCCCTTCTCTCTATCTCGCCGTCTACAAAGGGAGGATGGCCGAGGTCACGGCGCGGCTTCTGCAACAACACGCCGCGGCTGCGATAGACTATCGAGGCACTGGTAATAACTAACGAAAGAGCCCCCTGACCCTTTTTTTTCTTTTCTGCATCAAATTCTTCATTTGGCTCCCAGAATTAATATTTGAATTTTATGCCTGGGCAGTAATATAAGAATCCTGACAAAAGACCACGTCTTGTCCCTCACTAATTAGGATGATGGAAGTAGTTTAGTTATTATTTTCCTTAATTACTAGCTGGTTATTTATAGGTGACGTTATTAATAAGTTTAAAAGACTCAATATAATCTGTCAAAAAAGGCAAAGGATAGAGGGGCTGAGGATCTAGAATACCTTTTATTTGGTACAAACTTTGAACACTGAATCCCTAATATTTTGTAACAAAGGGAGTAATACATTAATCTTCTCCTTTTCTCTTCATGATGAATAGTAGTCCGTTGGCATACAAGGAAAGGAAACATATATATTAAAATTTGAGTGTTCTGTTGCCACTAGTGCTCACACATCCGTTTATTACATTAATGGAGTCACACTAGCCTGACATATTAGCTTAGAATTCAAATAAAATCTTACTGATTTTTAGCAGCTAAATATTACTCGCTTCGTTGAAAATTATAAGACGTTTTGATTTGTTTTATATACATGCTTAATTTTTACTATATATCTAGAGACATAGTGTATATCTAAGTGCATATAACAAAAAACTATGTATTTGAAAAAGATAAAATATCTTACGATTTGGAAGAGAGGGAGTAGTTTTCACAGCCAAAATTTGGAGTTGTTGTTTGGAGGACACTGTCACAATCGTGACTGTTCAACTATGCACAATCTACAGAATCTAAGCTTGTATGGATGGAAATGTGACAGGCGTTGCCTTGCTAGGCAAGAAATATTGACCCAGACATCCAAAATTGGATGCTTGAGAGTGTTGTTTGGTCCAAGCAGATTTTTCTAGCCACCATCTAAACAGCACCTCTATCCGTAAATATTGCATGTAGTGCATGGTATGAAGAAAGACACCCATGTATGCTTGAAAGCGGGGCGGGCTGTGGACAGCCGCCAACCCACAAAGCTCGCCGCAAAACTGATTAAGCGGGTTTGCAGCTGACCACTGGCCCACATTCGCTGCTGTCATATACTTCGTGGACTTGGCAGCCTTGATCATAAAACCCACAAAAGCCCGCATACGTGCGTACGTAGTCTATTCGCTCTGCTGCATTCCCTTCGACTTGGACACGACGACGCACACCCCAAAGGACTCGCATCCCATGGCGACACCTCGTACCGCCGCGCCGCCGGCGATCCTCAAGGTCGTCGTCTAGCTAGCTTCTGTCTACCAATTGACCATGACGCCTCCGTTGACGTGGAGGAACTGTTCGGTCATGTAGGACGACTCCTGCTCGCTGGCGAGGAAGACGTAGCTGGGCGCGACCTCGGAGGGCTGCCTGGCGCGCTTCATTGGGCACCTCGGACCAGAACTGCTCCACGTACCTTCTCCTTGCCGAACGACGCCGGGATGAGCGGTTTTCAGATCAGGTTCGTGCCCAACGGCGAGTATTGGCGCCGCCTCGTGTCCACGCACCTCTTTGTTGAATCTAATCTTAGCATAAAACATGTAGCACATGTACACAGGATCTTCTACATAGTCTAACACATGACCACAACTCATATAATGCGGAAATACTTAAGTAGATAGTGCCAGACCAGTGTTGGCAGTCGCCATCAGCGCCTCCAGTGGTGATGCAGTTGTCAGTGATGACGTAGATGACGGAAGATCACCGGCTGAGGGTTTGGGAACCCTCTGCAGGTGATGAACTCGGTGTGTCGGGTAGCGGTGCCCTTCTGGTCGCCACCGGCACTGACCTGGACGGGAAACGGACCTTCCTAGACCCTCCAGCGTCTAAGTGATGGGTTATGTGAAAAGTCACGTGGATTAGAGAGAGTGTGACAGCAGGGGCGCCTCTCTTATTTATAATCGCGCTGTGGACCAGGGGGCCAAACCCTTAGAATTCTAAGGGTTATCACCAATCACGGCAATTCTTATTTAATTGGAAACAAATGACGAGTGGGTGGACCAAAAGCTTAACTCTTGATTAATCTCGTAATTAAGTTCGGGATTAGCCGAACCGATCACATTCCAACATTCTCCCATTTGATCGAACGGCTAATGCACTTATGCAACTAATATTCTCTTTACACTTATGTTCACACTTAGTACCACAATAAGACCAGATCAATGCGTCGTCAGCAGCATTAATCGCCACCGGGACCCCATTACCCATAGTTCACCGTAATACCTTGTTAGAACACTTATTACTTATTGAGAGTACATGGCCCTATTACCCAGTCTCAGAGGCTCTCCACTAAACCCATACTTAGTGCATGTTGTTTAAACAGGTTATGTGGTAAGCCTTTCGTAAGCGGATCCGCGAGCATTAGCTTAGTACTTATGTGCTCAACTTTAATAGTCTGATCCTGGGTTCTATCCTTCACTACATAGTTAGGTCCAAATGTTTTGACCCATCAATTGGTTTGTTGTTACCGGAAAATAGTACCGCAGCCTGATTGTTGCAGTACATAGTAAGAGGTTTTGAAATGCTGTCTACAATTCTTAGGCCCGGGACAAAATTCTTAAGCCAAACAGCCTAGCCTGCTGCTTCATAACAAGCAATAACTTCAGCTTGCATCGACGACGATGTTGCAATACTTTGCTTACAACTTTTCCAGGAAATTGCTCCTCCAGCAAGGGTGAAAATATAGCCTGTTGTGGACCTCCTATTATCCACACACCCTCCTAGATCGGCATCTGAATAACCCACAATTTCAAGAGTATCTGACCTCCGATATGTGAGCATTAAATCTTTGGTGCCCTAACAATAACGTACAGCTTTCTTAGCACCTTTCCAGTGGACCAAGCCAAGATTTTTCTGATATCTGTCAAGCATCCCGGTTACGTACGCCAAGTCTAGACACGTACAAACTTGTGCATACATAAGGCTTCCGATGGCAGAAGCATATGGCTTATCTCTCATCTCATCTAATTCCAACTTATTCTTAGGACAATGGTAATCATCAAATTTATCACCCTTGGCCAATGGTAAGGTGTGGTAGAACACTTATCCATATTGTACCTTGCAAGCATTTTCTCAATATATGCTTTCTGTGATAATCCTAATACTCCTTTGGTCCTATCTCGGAATATCTCAATGCCAAGAACATAAGAGGCTTCACCAAGATCTTTCATGTCAAAATTAGATGACAAGAAATTCTTTGTCTCATATAACATATTCTTATCGTTACTCGCTAATAGGATATCATCAACATAGAGTACTAGGATAATGAATCGTCCACCTTTTGTCTTAATGTAGATACAATTATCCTTATGATTTTCAATGAACCCAAATTTCTTAATGACATCATCAAATTTCAAGTACCATTGTTGTGACGCTTGCTTAAGTCCGTAAATAGCTTTCTTTAACTTGCACCCCATGTGCTCCTTGCCTTTCACAACAAAAACCCTCCGGTTGTGCCATGAAAATTGTCTCATGCAAGTCGCCGTTTAGGAATGCAGTCTTAACATCCATCTGATGTAACTCTAAGTCATAATGAGCTACAAGCGCCATGACGATTCTAAACGAATCTTTCTTTGAGACAGGGGAAAAAGTTTCATTGTAATCAACCCTTCTCTTTTGTGTAAAACCTTTTGCTATGAGCCTAGCCTTAAATTTCTCAATTTTTCCTTTGGAATCACGCTTTGTCTTGTAGACCCATTTACAACCTACTGGTTTGACCCCATCAGGAATTTCAACTAATTCGTATACTTGGTTAGTGCTCATAGACTTAAGCTCATCTTGCATAGCCTCAATCCACTTATCTGAATTCTTATGTGCTATTGCCTCTTTAAAAGAAGCTGGATCATCCACTTTCCCAACATCATATAGATCTTCACTTAGATAAGTCTCATAGTAATCTGGGATAGCAGATCTCCTCTCCCGCTGTGATCTCCTTACGGGTTCATTAGGGATCACAACTAGTTGAGGCTTGAGTCTGCTCATGTGCCTGAATCTCATTCTCAACTATTGTCTCATCCTACTGTGGTTCATCAATTTGCACATTAGGATTCTCACCAGGAATTTCAATGCTAGTAGTTTGAGGCGGAGGTGCACTAACTTCTCGCACAAGCCATGTATTATTGGTGTTGTTTCTTGAGTCATAGGTACAGGTAATTCAGCCCGTATCTCATCAAGATTAACCTCACGCCTCTACGAGCTCCCACTGATTTTTGCATCCTCTAGGAACACAGCTTGCCTAGTCTCAACAAACTTAGTATGACGATCAGGACAATAGAAATGGTATCCCTTAGAATTATCAGGATATCCTATAAAGTGATAGCTCACGGTCTTAGGATCTAATTTCTTTAGCTGTGGATTAAATAACTTAGCTTCAACAGCACAACCCCACACACGCAGATAATTAAGTGTAGGCTTTCTCCCCGTCCACAATTCATAAGGTGTCTTGGGCACTGACTTACTAGGAACTCTATTTAGGATGTGTGCTGCTGTCTTTAATGCTTCCATCCATAAACCAACTGGCAAATTAGAATAGCTGATCATGCTACACACCATGTCCATAAGAGTACGGTTGCGACGCTCTACCACTCCATTTTGCTCAGGTTCGCCTGGCATTGAATATTGGGCAATTATGCCATTCTCCTCGAGGAACTTAGCAAAAGGTCCTGGGATTTGGCCATATGGAGCGTGTCTCCCATAATATTCACCACCTCGATCTGATCTTACAACTTTGATCTTAACATTGTGCTGATTTTCCACTTCAGCTTTATATATCTTAAATTTTTCTAATGATTCACAACGATCGCGTATGGGGTAAATATTTCCATAACGAGAGAAGTCATCTATGAATGTAATGAAAGAATCAAAACCATCCACTGATGTTACTAGGAAGGGTCCACATATATCAGTGTGAATTATTTCTAATAGACCCGTACTTCTAGTAGCTCCTTTCTTAATTGTCTTAGCGAATTTCC